TTCAGAACATCGAATGATGGCAAAATGAATTGTAAAAAAAAAAAAAGCAAAAAGCTTTGTTAAGGTCCGAAGAAAAAACCATAAATATTCGTTCTTCACAAGATAAACTTACAGTAATCGGAAAATGTTTCGTGTGTTGAGCAATTTTTTTTTTAAATTTTGAGAGAAACTTGTATCAGCTTTACGCTTATATTTTGCAGTATTATTTTGAGAACTGCCAGTTGAATTGCTGAATGATGCAGAAATTACAAAAAATCAAAATTTTTCTCATTTCAGTATTATGCAGCTGTTGGAACTGTTTCAATTTTTCCTTTCTTTTAGAAACTCCTTTCAAGATAATATAAATATCAACAATGTGTTCATCCACATTTAATGGTAAAGAAGCTGCCCCTTTTTCAGCTGCTAAATTTAAGAGGTGACAGGTGCACCTCATAATCTGCAAATCTGAATTTGCCTTTTCTTAGATGCCGCAACACCAGTCTTCAAGCCTACCATTACTGGTGCATTATCGGCAACCAAGCGCTAAGCAATTATCCAGAGGGACTGATTTTATTTTTAAGTTTTAATAATTAGCTGTGCTATATTAAAGCCTGTCGAATGTCCTTCTAAAGTGGGGTCAGAAAGTAAACTGCACTCAATTTCTGAAGACTCTGGATTAAAAAAAGAAACAACAATTGGATACAGTTTGAATTGGTATTATTGCTTCCATCCGTAGAGAGGCAGAACGGAGCTGTTTTAATGCAATCAATAACTGAAGATTTATTTTTCAAACCCATTTTTTTAACAATTGCACCTGTTTTGGTCCTTGCACTTGAGTATTTCTTAGCGATTTCACTATCGGGAAACATTTTTCTAAATAAAGCTGCAGCGTGATCCGATGCATTCAGTGGCAGGTTGTGCTCCAGTAAAGAGGCAGAGAACAGACATTCTGCATTAATCACTTTTTGGTCTTTTGTTTCCGAAGAAAAATTAATTTTTCGTTTTTTCAAAACAACTCATGTTGTCCTTGTGTTTTGTGTACGCACATGTTTGAGAACATCTGCCCTTCCACCAAGCGAAATCGAAAAATCGTTAACGACAGATGGTACACATCGCAAATTTATACATTTCCTTGAAGAAATAATGGAAGGAAAGTCAACTGTGTACGATTTTTGAAACGTGCACGAGTATTTCACCTTTCTCGCAGACATATCCAAAGATTGATAATTTCTAAAACTATTTCCTAAAGGCACGTGTACTCACACAACTCAGGACAAGATGAACGAAATAGCGAAAAAAAGAACATCCAAAGAACGGCCAACGGCCTTGAGCTTGCTTTGTGCTCATTGGCTAATATATGTCAGATGACACGCAGTGGAGCTCGATGCCCATTGGATAACTGGAGAACAACGTTGCTGGATACGTATGCTGTCAATCACAAAGCAGAAATTCTCATCTGATTCGCAAGGTTTCATTTTAGATATAATCTAGAGAAAATTCAGTTGCTTTCAGACGTCCAAAATCACTTTTTTTTTGTTCATAAAACGAAGTATTAAGCCAAGTTCCATAAAAATCGTGAGAAATATTAAGAATAAGAAAAAGTCGGGAGAAATATATTGTAAATCGGGTTGGCGGGAGAGCGGTCGAAAATCGGGAGTCTCCCGCCTAAATCAGGAGAGTTGGCAACTCTGCATAACTGACAGTTCATAACATTAATATTTTTCTTTTACCTTGTTCTATGTATGTATGTCTGTATGTATATTTTTAGTTACTTTTATTTTGAATATATACATATTTCAAATTCCTTTTTCATTTCAATGGCGCTTCCGACTGTTTTTTAATTCTGGTAGCACTCGTGAGGCGACTTCGTTACTTTCACAGTGATAGCTTGATAATCTGAAAGCTGTGTCGCTGATCGTGTCAGCGTGTTTATAGTAGTTCATCGATGACTGTAAAATGTGTTTTGGAGCTGTCCTGACAATACTGGCAAATAAAGTGTGTTTCGATACTTCATCAAGTGTTGTCGTTATTCACTCCAAATCTATGAACCCCGTACGAACGTGAAGGAAGAAAATAATGTCACAACTGGTGTCAGAAGGAAGAAAATAACGTAACAATATTGTGATATAAATCTTCTTCAAAGATTTGAAGATATAGATTTGATTAACTTTGGGAACACATGCACAACCCTCCGAACAACATTATAAGTTCCTGGGCAAACCAGTGTGGTATGGTCCCTATGACAAGAACTCAAAGAAATGACATGTAAATAGATTGGGGCCCTCAAGAAAGTGCTCACCAGGCCCACGCATTACGACAGTCCTAAATTTCATGTCAAAAGATAAATACCTTCAATTACGAATTTTTGCAATAGTTTTGTTTGGGAATATATTTGTTTGTGAGCAGTTTCTTTGCACTTGAAAATTAATAAGTCTAAATAAAAAAAAAAAGAAACCAGGATGACCTATGAGCATCTACAACTCATGATGAAGATTGTTTTCATTAATTCTGTCCAAGATTTACCAAAATCAAAACATGATGAGGTGCTGTAGCTAAAAGTTGTAATAGGAAATAAAGTTTATAATTATTTACATACAGATAAATAAAAGAAAAAAAATATTTTATCATTATTTGTTCTGAAGTTTTGTTCCACTTGGAAAGTTTTCATAATTTGTTTATTTTCAGTTTAAGTTTGTTATTTAGGGTTCAACTATACAACATATTAGAATTATTTGAAATAAATGCCAGTTTGAAAATTTTAATCTTTAGCTGTCAATACATTTGAATTACAAAGTGTAACTATCAGAAATTTCTTGCAGTTACTAATCTTTAGGTTACAAACAGAAAGTAAATATAAATATTAATTTTTTCCAATTGTGTCATTATTGTTACTGTTTATGCATGACCTGATAAATACTTAGTAAATAAAATTTTAAATTTAGTTTTGTTTAAAAAAAAACTTTCTTGTTACAAAAAAGTCAGCCAATCAACTGCTTTCAGAGACAACTGCCTACTTTACATGACATCTGTCATACCATAAGTACATGATCAAATGCAATGAACTGAAGTAATTCTAATCCTTTTAACTTGGCCAACGTACTTCTCTGAAAACTGATTCAAACTACACTTATGTCAAGAACTTTCATGAAAAAACTATCAGAACATCAGATAATTGTTTTCCATTGTCATCTGAATAACGCCATTTTTCCCCAGAGGATAAAAATTTATACAAATATTTCCTACATACTTCTCGAAACACTGGTTCAAACACCACTTACAGCAAGAAAATACACAGAACAACTAATAGAGTACCAGATAATTGCTTTTTGTTATCATTTTATAAGCACCAATTTCTCCATACAGGATCAAACATTTAGGCAAATACTTAAACAAATGATGTCAATATGCATTTAATATAAAACTGTTACATAATTTGCAGCTTTTACACCATTCTATGTTCCCTGCAAATTTATTACTTTGCTCATATATTATTTTTATCTGTAATGATACCATTAAAGCTTATATAACACTCAAGAATGTGAAATATAATGAATAACGTTTCCTAGAAATATATTCTTCCCAAACTAGTTTTAACAGCAAGCAGAAAATTGCCCTATTGACAACTTTCTAAGACTCACAGAGAACAAGTTTCATTTGATGCTGTGTTTCATATAGAATCGATCAGAAAGAATGAAGGATTATAGAACACAATTATATAACCTAGCTAAACAAAATTTCAGGGGAAAAAATTCCACAAAAATTGTGCTTGACAAGGTGATGAGGGAACTTGTCCTATTTTGTTTAGCAATTTTAGATCTCTTCAATTGACTTATGATGACGCATTCACTTATCACATCTTAAGATTGCAATAAAATGTTTGTTCTAAAAATTATACAAATGACACACTAGAGATGGACAAAATTACTCTTTTATGGAATCAGATCAGAACTGTTCATTCACTCAACTGAATCAGAACCTTTTTTTAAATCATCAATCATCACTTACTTATAACAACCCTGATAAAAAAAAAAAACATAGGAACTAGGTGTCAATCAAAGATGGTTAGCGAGAATGGAGTGAAAAGTTACCACACAAGCAGAGGAATCAGAAACATTTTCTCAATCAAACCCTGAACTAACTGCACTGATTTTTTTCAACTGTAGTTTGGAGATTCCCTAAAACGTCTTCTCTACCTAGAACTATCAATAAAATTTTACAATAAAAAGTTTTTCAAAAAGTTGGGATATGATAAAAACTGAGGATCATTTTTAAGGTAGAAGTCACTTTTAAGGTAGAAGGATAAGCATTCTTTTCTTCCCTAAAATGGGAATCAAACTTTCCTGGCACACTTCAAACAACAGCTCTTTATGAATCAACTCTAAAATATCTACATTTCTTTTTTTTTTTTTTTACTCCGCATTTAACTTGCTCAGTGCATGAAATGGTTCTTTGAATAAGTTCATGAACAAATAGCATACTTCTACTACAAAAATGAGGAAACACCTACCAATCTACACTGACCTAGCTCCTCAACATCTTCTCCTGCATTGTTTGTTCTTAACCAATGCAGCACAATAAGTACTCTGTTTCTTTTGAATGCCCCAAACAGCAGTGTTCCAAAAATCCCATTCTTTCGGAAAACATTATATCATTCAAACTCGGTTTATGCATGATCACCGTTAACAAATTCCATGGCATTTGTAATCTCGTGCTCTGTACTGAGGGAGAAGTACAGTGCCAACTCTAAAATTTTCTGTCACCCTTGGGACTGCAAAACCAGAAGAAGCTTACCAAAATTCTGAAATATCTGTTATTATACATGTTTTCACAATAATATTAACTGATTACAACTAATCTTTTGTGGTATATATCATCATGAAATGTGATTTACTCAAAACACATTGGCTATGTTTAAATTAAGCATGTAATTTTTTTTATCAAACATAAATATTAAGAACACTTTTAAGTTTTTAGATAAATGCTGAACACTTGTTAGTGAATTCAAAATAAAGTAACATTACCTATGTGTAGCATCAGATTGTTTATAATCTGAGATTAATTCTCTCCCATGTGGAGAGAATAACTGAAAGTTTATATCTAATTCTTGGTGAATTTCAACATCTCCAAAATTTGCATCAATAACCTGAAACAGAAAAATACTATGAGTAATCAAGAAAAATTTGCATAAACAATTATCATAAATATGTACAAAACCCACTTAAAGTATTATTTCGTACACATAGATAAGTTTGCTGTTTGCGTTTATCAGGATTTAACAAAAAATTTCTCGCCGCTGCAAATATCTTCTGTGCAAACAGTTTGCATTGGCGTGTGTAATCATATTTTGTCAAACGGTTTTGGGGATTTGAAAGAAAGAGACTTGCTTTAAAACACTGTGTTGTGAAATTTGTGAAAAATTATTGTTGTCAAATTTGTAAAAAAAATATCATTATTATTAAGCATTATGTGTCTGAAATGGAACTATCATGCTACCAGATTAGAACCATCATTTACTTAGAGTTCTGTTGCAAAAAGTCAGTTACATAATGTCATCAAATCATGCATAGATTTTTAAGTACTAATGTTGTATCAGTTGCAGTTTTAGGTCATTAACTTTAATTTCTAATTTTAAGATGTAGAACAATGTGAAAATTTTAAATAAGTCCCAATAAACATATTTTGGCACTTCTCCATTAATGAGGCAGGAAGCATCACATAAGCACTGGCCTGAAATAATAATAGCAATAGAAATATGAATAAATACATCTTATATTTACTATTTTGTGTTTAGAAAAGTTAAGTCCCAAGGAAATAAAAATTTGTAACGCTTGTACTGAGCAACTGAGCATTTTTTCTTCAGGCAGAGAAACCAAATATTTTCTTCTGATTTCCTTTATTCCTCTCCGTTTATAATTACTGTCGTTTTATTTTAGAACAAGTAAAAGGAATCAGAAGCATATTCATTGGTCTACAATTACATAAAAAATGTTATCTGAGTAAATTAAAAATCATTATTTAAAAGACTGGTTAGAGTAGACTTTAAGATACCCCTTGTATTATGGTGAAGCTGTTGTTTCATTTATCGCCAAGTTTTGTTTTATTTATAGTAGCCTAAGTAGTTGAATGTTATGGAAACCCTATTGTGACATAAATGGGTGCATGAATATGGGAAATTTTGAATCATGGGATGTTTTGTAACTGCTTTTGTGGTATGTGTTGGTTTTATTGTTTAGACGGTAGAATGGCTGAATGTAGTATGATCAATTTGAAGTTTCTGTATGATTTGGAATGAAAGGGAAAAAGAGCGTTAATTCACTGGTGTGTAAATGAAGTTTTACTTAGTAGCCATTACAAATGTCTTGTATGTAGGAAGGATATGCGCCTAGTCACACGTATAAACCGTTTAGATGGATTTGAATGGGTTTGTAGAAAGAAAGGTTCAGATGTGGCGACGCAAATATACGGATTCGAGTTCAGATAATTTTAGGAAGTTTCTGGATGCTGTTAAGGAATTTTGTGTGCCACAGACTAAAGACGAAGGAACTTCTAAATAGGGTAAGTGGATATTTGCTTTTTGTAGCACTTAAATGTATAACATGTTTTCCCTTCTTTTATGTTATTTTATTGTTTAGTGTAAAATGTAGTTTATTGAGATTATGTATTTTTTGTTTGCCTGTATTGTTGAATTGGGTGCTCCTTTGATTTTTTAAGTGAAAATATATCGATGTGCACATGGGCAAAGTAAAGGGAATACGCAATGCAAGTTTGTGCAATTCTTGAATTTCTTTTAAGTGAAAAATAGGTCGACATGCACATGGATAAAGTCAAGGTACTGCGCAATGCCATTTTTCTGCAATTTGGGGATTTTTTTTTTAATTGAAAGTAGGTCGATGTGTACATGGATACCAATTTTGTGCAATTGTTCATCTTGTTATTTTGACTTTATGTAGTGGCGATTTTTGGCGTAAAAATCAGCGTTATGCGAGTCAAAAAAAATATATTTTAGGGTAGCCTTTGGCGAAACTTGCCGATTTTTGGATACTGAGTTCATGCAATTCTTTGACTTGTTACTTTGGCCTGCGTAGTGGCAATTTTTGGTGCAAAAGTTGCCGCAACGCAAGCCAAAATAACAAGTCAAAGAATTGCACAAACTCAGTATCCATGAACACATCGACCTATTTTCACTTTAAAAAAAAAAAAAAAAAAAAAAGTCCCCGAATTGCACAAATATGACATTGCACTCCCTTGACTTTATGTATATACACATCAAACTATTTTCACTTAAAAAAAAACATCAGAGAAATGCACAAACTAGGCTAAATCGCCACTACTCAAAGACAAAATAACAAGACAAAGAATTACACAAAACTCGGCATCCATGTACATATCGACCTATTTTTACTTTAAAAAAATTCCAGAATTGCACAAAAATTGTATTGCAAACTCCATTGACTTTATCCATGTACACAACGACCTATTTTCACTTGAAAAAAAATCAGAGAATTGGCCAAACTATGCTTTACGCACTCCGTTGAGTTTGTCCATGTACACATTGATATATTTTCACTTAAAAAGTCAAAGGAGCACCCAATTCTACAATAAAGGCAAACAAAAAATACACAATCTCAATAAACTAAACTTTAAACCAAACAATAAAATAACACAAAAAATGAAAAACCTGTTATGTATTTTAGCACTACACAGAGGCAAATACCTACTTACCTTATTTAAAAATTAGTTCGCCTTCAGTCTGTGGCAGACAAAATTCCTTAACAGCATCCAAAAACTTCCTAAAATTATCTGAACTACAATCCGTATATCGGCGTCGCCACATAAATTCACAAAAATAAGAGTAAAAAATATGCTACTTAGTTCCGGACTATGGCTACTAAACATTCATTTACACACCAGTCAATTAATGCACTTTTCCCCTTTCATTCCAAATCGTACAAAAACTCCAAATTAATCTTACTACATTCAGCCATTGTACTGTCTAAACAATGAAAGAAGCAATCTACTTCCTAAGCAACACACACCACAAAACCCCTTGCAAAATATCCAATGATTCAAAATTTCCTGGAATAATGCAAATGATTACATCATAATAGGGTTTCCATAACATTCAACTAATCAGGTTACCATAAATGATACAACTTGGCGATAAACGAAACAACAACTTGGGGCGATAAATGAAACTATAATTTTGCGATAATACAAGAGGTACCTTAAAGTCAATTCTAAACAAATATACTTTTACCTAAAGATTTTTTTTTTTTTTAGTACCTTAAAGTCAATTCTAAACAAATACACTTTTACCAAAAGATTTTTTTTTTTTTTTTTTTAAACTCAGGAGCAGTCTTTTAGAAAGGGTAATTTAAATGATAAAAGTCAACGTGCACTGCAGAAAAATTGTTATTCAAGAAAAAATATTTATTTAAAAATAAGTTATTAACTTGTTTAGGTTTTCACTTAAAAAGCAATTTTGTTTCCTCACACAAATAAGATAAGATTCAAATCTTTGGATTCTAACCTAAGAAATCGTTAATTTTTTTTTTTTTTTTTTTCCAAAACTTTGAAATAACAAACTTTTACTGATGCCCAGTATAAAAGAATTCACATAGAAAGAAAGAAAAAAAAAAAAAAAAAAAAAGGTGATTATATGTAAGTTATTCTTTTCAATACTTCAATTTTTAATGTCTGTGAAGATTGTTACTTTAATTGGTGTTCTACTTAAGTTAACCAGAATTATCATACTTGTTAAATAAAGATTTTGTAGTTATTTTCACTTTATGGTTCTTCGATAAACTGCGCTAAATAGAGGAAACGTACTTAATATGCCTTACATGCTAATGCACAATACAACATATTATGCACTCTCAAATCATCACGATAATTTTGGCGATAGATAAAGTTCATGCTCATCATTGAAAATTCTCGAAACCGCCTGTTGAATGGTTAAAATAATTTTGGACAAACATAACCTATTGCTAATAAATCTGATAGTTCATGCCGGGCTACATAAATGCTTCGGCGAGCACATGTTCTATCTGTCTACCAGAAACTCTTCAACCTAGCTGTTTAATTTTGAGCTGTTCTTCAAATATATGGCAAATCAAAAATAATGTTACGAAAGGAAATCGTACTTGTCACTTCCACAATGAGTTTATTTCACAAATGCAGATATAACATGAATGAATAACTCTTCATATTTTAACCCTTTCAGGACGGGCATCCCATATACGCATTCCCTAAGAACGTCTCTTACAGCCAGGCGTCCCATCCACGCATCGCTAAAGATTGCATTCAGAGGACGGGTGATGCGGATGCGCATTTTAAGCTATAACATTTTTCTGAAAGCCACTAGATGGCATCCTATGTCCATTACTTTTGAAATGAACACAGTTTTAAGTTCCTGACCTTGCGTTTGATATATTCTGCTTGACTTTGGTATTTTACTCATCAGCTCTTGCAAGGGTGAGGCGGGAGGGAAAACGTAAACAGAGGTGAGCTCTTTAAATCTCTGTGTGCTAATGAAAAACATTTGCGTGTCTGATTTATATCCAATTCCTTTTTTTATTCTATTTTTTCCTTTACTATATACGGACTTTTAGGGTTAGTATGTGGAGTATTGTTACATTTTGCTTTGCCCTTCAGATATATTTCCGTTTCTGCTCTTTTTATTTCGGAAAGCCTCACCTCCAGTCTATTATACCGGAAAGGCGCTATTTATCAGAGGAAGAATACCCTAGTATGGTCAATGAACCATTTATTAACGCAGATAAGAGTGATGATTAATTTTCTAAAGACTTAGAAAGTGACACTTTTTCTAAGAATTAGAAAGTGATACTTCTCCGTACTTCGAGATTTACCACAGTCTTCATTTTAAATTTTGTTACTTCTTAATGTAAAGTTTTATTGTGTTGTTTTATTAATTTAAAACTTTATTGATGGATTTTATCAATTAAAACTTTGGAATAATTTGAATAGCGCTTCCGAAAATTATTTTACAAGACAAGCAATTTTTTAAGTATATTTTCATATAAAATAAAAAAACGTTATTAAGTGCTAATTTTAACATATATAGGAGCTCAAGTAATAATCTAAAAGAATACAAAAAATTACGATGCTAGAAGCAAAACTTTG